AACTCCTTGAGAAAGTTCACCGCGTCCAAGTAATAACTGAAACGCGTGCCCTCATGAATTTCCATGAGCAAACCCGCAATGATTTCTTGTCGATACCGATCTCCATGGCATTCGGTACCGGCAATGAACGTCGGCCAGGCTAGATTCTGAACGAAGGCAGCTAGGTCCTTGAATCCAGTCAGTTGGTCGAACAGACTGGCAACGGCCACAATGCGCTCCGAGGCGTGCTCGGTGGCGTAATCGAGGCACCTTAACGAGTAAAGTAGCCCCGCGTTATGATAAACCTCGACTAAGCGTATGAAGTCAAGAGACATGCTTGATCCTGCCAGTCCGAGTCGTCCGGCCGCCATCAACGTGGCGCCTCTTGCCTGCTCAAACTCGGATTGGATGAGAGGCATCGTGAGGCCGCTGCGTAAGTGCGATATTGAAGGATGAGAATCAACAGCATCTGCCGAAACGAGCGTGATGCGGTGCAAGAAAGTCAGATACCTCGAAAACAGGAGATGCTCTGAGCCAGGTGCTGGTGTGACGGCGTTGCGTATGAGGGGCAGGTCACACGATGTCGTAGCTGCCAGTACATCATCTATAGCTAGTTGATTTCGCAAGAACGCAAACAGATCGCGGTTGTTGATTGAGCTCTGGCATTTGAAAAGGTTGACGATCGTCCTTGCCGCACGTCTGTGATCATCGGCGATTTGGAGGCGGCGACGGGCATTCTCGTAGTTGCACATGATGAGAATCGAAGCCAGCATCCATTCTGCATCAACCACGTCGCCATGGTCGTTCAAGTCATCACCCTTAATAAGCCGTGCCGTCATATCTTGGGCGCGGGTTTGGATTAGACGTAAGCACCTATCGCGAGCATTCTCAGCAACGGACTCATCAGGCACCGTCATGGCGCCGTGTTGAGCCGCGAACGCCATGATAGCGAAGCCGACTGCTGGTTGATTCGCGGCTAGAGGAACAACCTGTGTTCGGTAATGGTTTTCGTCTGAGTCCATCCATACCATCAGACCGGCTAAGTTCAGTCTATAATAGTCCATGAACACGCTTGTCAGGGAGTCGGGATACTTGCAAGGTCGAGTTGCTTGAGCGATTGGCGCATTCAGAACGACAACCGAACTCATGAAGTCTTTTCTTTTGTCTAGCTGGGATCTTTCAGTGAAGATGTCTTTCGAGTCCTCTTCTCGAAATGCGGCCTTATCTTCAGAAGACGGCCTCGTTGGGACGGTTCGGCCCCGCAGGTGTCCCCTTGCGGCAACCCCTTCCACCCATCGAAGTCGGCGGTCATAGCCAGGACATGGAAGTCCTTTCTTGTCACACTTGGCGCAATGGGGTCGCCGTCGATCGCAGCGAATTCGACGACGCTCACAGTTGGCGCAGCCTGGGGGGCTAATCAGCACAGGACATTGGCGATCGACCGAAGGAGGGGACGAGCAATTGACGCACCCTTGAGTTGCTTTGGGGGCACTTCCACAGTAGACTCAGCAGCACCTCTTTGAACTTTCCCCTCCAACATGCTGCCGAAATCCCATGGCTCCGATAATCGTGATATGGATTGTATGCGAATGAGTGTGCAATGCTCAGTGAAGCTAGCCCGCGGTTGAATAGGATTTATCAACTAATTGCGGGGTTCCTGTCCCTCGACCTCGTCTGGTGTCTGGCCACGTGCCGATTGATCAACGGAAGGGCGTCCGATGCTTTGAGTTGCGAGGCTTGTACGCTAAAACAACACCCTAAGAACAATTCAACGAACAGTACAAATTCACGATGATCTAGGATTCCGAGAAGCAACTGAGACGTCCTGCCAAATAAACACGCGCTCTACCATGGCATTTGTGAGCACATAGCGTTCGAGGCGAGTCATGTTGACTGGCCACCGAAGAGGAGGATTGAATTACCAAAGAATTACTACAGTGTCTCTTACTCCGTGGTAACATTGTTCCAATCGTTCGTTTATCCCGTCGGTCCAAGTTTTCCTACCCCTCACTATTTTATCTACTAGGTATAAGAGTAATAATAGGCGTTGTATCCATGCTTGCCATGCTGACTCAAAAAGAGCTGATCAATTGCGGCGTAAGCTGGCACCGCGTCTTGTCGCCTGCAGCTACCTTACCTCGCGCAGTTGCCAACTGCACCAATGACCACTTAGTGCTGCCTAAAGTCTTGCATTTCTCAACCTCCTTCTGAGCTGTGCCGACCCCTCCTTATTCTCCTCTTTCAACAGACGAGTGTTCGAGATCCTGCTATCTACGTTCATCCAAGCTTTGTTTCAGCGAGCGAATCGCCATGGAAGATGACTACATCCAACAAGCCAGAGTCTCCCCACACTGGGTGTCCGAGGGTAACACCTTCTGGTATCGCCAGAACCTCCCAGCCGGTAAATTCATCTTCATATATGTTGACGCCGTAGAGAAGCAGCGACGTCCAGCTTTTGACCATGACAAGCTAGCAAAGGCGCTTCAAGAGGGAACCGACCAAAAAGATGGAGAAATCGACGCTTTCAAGCTGCCCTTCACATGGATCGACCTTGAAGCCGAGTCATCCTCCGTCCGATTTCTCTATGAGGGAAAGAAATGGCGTTTTGACACTGAAGCAAACCTCAGTGAATGGGAGGGTGCGCTCAATCTGCCTACGACGCCATTCATCTCCAAAGAACGGGCATCTGTGCACTCGAACCACTCCGTCACTATCACTTTTGTCAACAACAGCAAGGCAGACTTGAAGAAGTATTGGATAGACTGGGAAGGCAAGCCAGTGCTTTATGGAGGGATTGGAAGTGGGTTAAGCAACACTCAAAGAACTTATGCCGGCCATGTCTGGAAATTTGTCGATGAGTCGGAGACTGTTAAGGCAATCTACGCCACACCCGAAGAGATTGTCTCCTCTGTGATCATTGATGAAAAAACGATGGATGAGCTCGGTCCTCGGGACCCAGAAGACGGTGTTAAAGAGAGAGATGGCGAGGAAACAAGCCCAAAGTCAGACTTGAGCGAGAAGGGCTCGCCCCACCTCTTTGTGCGAGGTTTTGACCTTTGGTGCCGGAATGCAGACAAGGAAGAGGTTCGTCTTTCAGACAACGGCGCCGAAGACAATCAGTATGATGATTCAAACATCTGGATATCTTCAGACAAGAAGTTTTGTGTCGCCTGGCAATTCGTCCCTGAGGAAGAGCACAAAGTGCACCTTCGCGACTCCGTTCCGAAAGATCAGCTTGAGCCGAAGCCTAAAAGCATCCGGTACCTGAAGGCTGGAGATCGCGTCAGAGTTGATCGTCCTCGTTTGTTTAACCTAGAAACGAAGAAAGAGGTCGTTACAGACGCTACTTTGTTTCAGAGCCCCTACGAACTCCGGAACATAGGATGGAGCCGTGATTCTTCGGAATATCGCTTCATATACAACGAGCGTGGCCATCAACGTCTACGTGTCATAGGAATCAACTCAGACGGCTTTGTTAGGGCTCTAGTTGAAGAGAGCAGTAACACATTCATTGACTACTCCACGAAGCTCAATCGACGTTTGATAAAAGATACCGATGAACTCATTTGGGCTAGCGAACGAGACGGCTTCAACCACCTTTACCTTTTCGATCTTCAATCAGGGAAGTTGAAATGTCAGATGACAACAGGAAAATGGAATGTGAAAGAGTTCGTTCGTTTCGACGAGGAAGCGAGAGTGGTTTGGTTCTCAGCTTGCGGAGTAGTCCCTGATCAAGATCCGTACTATACGCACTTGGCTCGCGTCAACTTCGATGGGACGGGATTCAAAGTGCTGACCGATGGAGATGGCACACACCACTGGACAATCTCTCCGGGGCAAGGATACTTTTTCGACACATGGTCGCGGGTGGATTCGCCCCCACGCACCACTCTGCGAAAGATGGAAACTGGAGAGCTGGTCGTACATCTCGAAGGTGACGAAGGGGATTCTCATCGTTTAGAATCAGACGGCTGGGTAGTACCTGAAAGATTTAACTGCCCTGGGCGGGACGGCGAAGAGTCTATCTACGGTATGATTGTTCGCCCTCCAGATTTTGATCCCAAGAAAAAGTACCCCATTCTAGAATCCGTCTACGCAGGCCCGCATGGGTTTCACGTACCAAAGGAATTCAGTGCCCTGCGTTCGCGCCGACAGTGGGCAGAACAGGGGTATGTTGTCGTTCAAATTGATGGCATGGGAACGAATTGGCGATCAAAAAAGTTCCAAGACGTTAGTTGGAAAAATCTCAAGGATGCCGGGTTCCCTGACCGCATAGCCTGGATCAAAGCTGCAGCAGAGACTCGGCCATGGATGGACACGAACAGAGTTGGGATCTTTGGGGGATCGGCAGGCGGACAGAATGCCGTGGGGGCACTTCTGTTTCATGGCGATTTCTATAAAGCAGCCGTCGCCGATTGTGGATGCCACGATAACAGAATGGACAAGATATGGTGGAGCGAGCAGTGGATGGGTTATCCAGTCGACAAGGCATACGAGGATTCATCGAATGTGGTCCATGCTAGCAAATTGACGGGAGCGCTGTTACTAATCGTTGCAGAGATGGACGACAACGTTGATCCCGCGTCGACTCTGCAGTTGGTGAATGCTTTGAATGATGCAGACAAGGACTTCGAGTTACTCTACATGCCTGGAGCTTATCATTGTTCAGGCAGGACCAAGTATGCTCTGCGGCGACAGGAGAAATTCTTCAGACAACATCTGCAAGCCTCGCAGTAGCAGCACGATCCTTCCAACTCAAGAGTCTGTTGAGAAACCCACTAGTTAAGAGGCATGTAGAATCTGCCACAAACAAGCGGTTACAACCCGAAGTCCAATCTTCCTGAGCTTGAAATTGGAAGACATTTCCCGTGATATGGGATCTCCCAACGCTAATTCTATTACGCTACTCTACAAATTATGATTTCCATGCCGGGCTCTAATACAGATGAAAGTCGAAAAGCTGCCGATGATGTCGGTGCAGATAAGCTCAGGTCGCATTCTTAGAAAGCACCCTGATGATCTCAGACTTTCCGTGCTCGAATCAAAACCTGATGCTCCGGATCTGGGAGCACGTTCACTCCAAATTCCACATTCTTGGATCGGGGCTGTCCATCTAAGTTCTTGATCTCATAGTTTAGAAGGAACTCCGCAAACATGAGCTTAATTTCGACATCGGAAAGGAATCTGCCCGGGCACGCATGCCTGCCGAAACCCCAACCAAGTTCCGTACGAGTGACGCTGACAAATGAGTGCTTGTGTGCCATCCCGTCTTGCTGGCGTTGACGGTACGACCGCATGCCATCGAACTTATGCGGATCGGGGTAGATGGAAGCGTCAAAGTTGATAGCGCTGGTTGGTAGTTCCATCTTCGTACCGGCAGGGATGTAAGTTCCGTCTTTCAGGGTCACAGGCTTCGTGGCCATGCGCTGGAAGGTAGCTTCGAACTCGTAAGAAACCGAACTTGATTCTGGTGGGAAGACGCCGACTTACTCAGATCAGGTGCATTCATTCTCAAACTCTCCTTCATCCAGCTGTCAAGTTTCTTCATCTTAGCAAGTGACTGCTTGGTAAAGATGCCACCAGAACTCTCCAAAACCTCCACCACCTCCTGACGAAGCTCCTCGGTGTACTCAGGGCATGCGGCAAGATCGTACAAAACTTGGACCATGGAAGACGAGGTTGTGTGGATGCTCGCCACGGCGAGAGTCATCTGCAGCAAGAGTTGTAGGTCCAGATCACCGGCCTTATCTGCGTGTTCCCCGCTAGACAGGTGATCGAGCATGGTGGGAGGGTTCTCCAGAGGTGCACCACCCAAGGCACTTTTCCTGGCCATGGACTTTGCGACGATTTCGCGCCCTTTGGCCCATTGTTTCTCCTTCTCTAGGCGTTCCGGGAGGAAGTAGGTGACGAACGGACGCAGGAAAGGAGGCCACTGCTTGAGAGCCGAGCCGTATTCGATTGCAGTGTGTACGAATGACATTGAGAGATTGGTCCATGCGGGATTTCGGGCTGCTTCATCGCTATGCATGATTCTCGCAGACAGGATCGCCACAAGCTCGAAGAAGTGCTGATAGGGTTTTACTGGTGTCCAATCTGGAAGAAAATTAGGCAAAGTGATGTATGATAGGACCATGGATCTCACCTGTCGGAGATCCAAGAAATTTCGGAAGGTGTTCTTGGATCATTCCATGGAAGACAGGAACGTAAGCACCTTTTGCCTTGGTTAGAATTGCGCTCCTGGAAGATTATAAAGAATTCAACAAACCCAAGCTGGGGTTCATCTTTGCTAGAATCTGATGTACCCCCCAAGCGTCGACACCTCCAATGCCTGTGTAGTTGACCAAGGCATCCCAGAAAGCAATGTCAGCATACATCATGACTTATTGATAATGAAATGAACTTACATTGTCGATCGAGGCTTTGAAGCTCAATGCCGGGTGACTCTTCAGCTCATCGACACTTGCAAGGGGCAAGACGACTTTGACACCTACACAAAGTCAAAAACTTTTTCTCCAGTTCTGCAAAAAGTAGACATACCATCCATGGTGTCGATTCCAAAAGGCTTGCTTTTGAACTGACCAGCGCATTAGCTGTGAGACGCACTGCAACTGTTCTGTAAGTCTACTTACCCGCTCATAGTACTTGTCGAGTAATTTCCTGGCGTTTGCCCCGTATGACCGTTTTCTGTTGAGAATATCGGACACCTCTTCCGAAAGCGGCGTAGGTACTTTCAGTCTCCGGCTCAGGACTTGTGACAGTATCCCCAAAAGCAGCGATGAGAGTAGCAAAAAGCTTGCTGTTGAAGACAGATGATGCCCATTCAACAACGAAGCATCGATGCGAATCGTCGTGGGTAGTAGGGAACCCATTTTTCTTCGAGCTTGGGGTCTAAATACTTGAGGTTAGGCAGAAGGGATACCAAAAGTACTTCAAGGAGAAAAGAACGCAAAATTGACTTCGAGCTCTGGCCGTCTTTGAAGCGATGAAGGTTGCAGGTTCGTCTTTACAAATGCTTAAAAGTTGAGAACTGGCTGTAGTTGATTCATGAAGACACCTTTGGAAAATTTAATAGACCTTAAATAAGACCTTGGTGCAGCATGAACATCTTGCTACCAGGCGCTAGCTTAGACGATGAAGCACGTCGTGGACTGGGTGGATCCGTGAACCGGACTGGCGCAGATCGACACCGCCCACTTCGAGGCGGACTCTCGGCACGCACCGAGTCCTCCATGCCAAGTAGCGAGCGCGTCATTCAGTTTCTAGAACCTCGAGTCTCAAGCATTTCTTATCTTGGTGGACTTCAGTGGATTCATAGATACTCCGTGTCTCAGTTCGGTAGCCGGCGGGAGAGTGCAGGTTTCATACGAACTCGAGGAAATGTTGGCACGCGCCGTTAAGTCTACTGTCAGCACTGCTTAGTGTCCATGTATGCCACAATTCAATATCTAAATTTCCACCGGTAAGTCTTTTCATGGGTTTGGTAGGCTGTATGAGCATACTGCTCACTCCGAGAGCTTGCTCCAAAAGCAGCTTCCCAGGCTTCCAATAAGCGAGTGTGTTACTTCCAAATGCTACCTTATACACGCAGTTCTACAGAATCTGGGAAAAATTCTTACTGCCTGCATGGTTGATTTTGGAGTGTATGGCCTCTGTTCACCGTCCCACTGATCTCAATTACAGATAAGAACTAGGCACAGGATTCAATGATTTTGGTGCACTCCGTCGGGATTTGAATCAATACAGGTACATATAACTACAGAATGCTTGTGTTACAATATCTCAGGCTCTACGCCTTCCTGGACAGCATTAGAGATACTTGACCTGGAAGCGGATCTCACTTCGAAGGTCAGTGATTGTTTCTAGTTGTTGGTATCCGTATCACAGGATATTTGGTTCGAACCGTGGGTTGACGAAGAGATCAATTGAACTATATGAATTTCTGCGTGTGTAAAAGGGAGGTTCCAACCGTAGGTTGGGCAGGCCGCGATAATCGGAAGTATGGGCCGTAATTGGCCACTGCGCGGCCGGCCGTACGCCGAGGTCGAATTGGACTTCCAATCCGACACTAGTACTTGTAATGTAATGCCTGTAGGCAGTTGAAGTATGGGCCATAGCGACCGACAACTTAGCCACTGGCGTACTACTCTGTCCAAAAAGAAGCGGTATTAACACGTTTACCGAGCTCTAACTCACCGCTGTCAGCTTTGACTTGTTATTTTCTACGGCGATGCGGTGTCGTGTGTTTAAAGGCAAAGTGTGGGAGCCGTTACAGTGACATTGCGGGATCTGCATAGCCGTCAATGTTACGGAAAATAAGAATATTGGGTTCATGAAGCCGAACGGGGAATTTTGAACCTTCGCGGTACTGTGCAGGAAGCCGCCCCCGGGTATTGATCCCACTCATGCCGATGTGGAGTCTTTATCGGGTCTTGCTGTTCGGCAGACGGCGCCTTCGGGCGCCGGTTAATCACAGAAGACTCATAAGTGCATGCGTCAGATATTGACATCATTACCAAAGTAGAGTGTTAAGCCAAGGCTGAAATGCGGCTGGTGCTACGCTCGTACAACTTGGCAATTGGCGCAGCTTGGCTGCCGGTCCTGATGCCTTAAGCCTAAACGACAGCGCGGGTTTTTCGCTATGTGGAAGTCCGAGAGTCCGAGGTTCAAGCATAGTGTACATGATTTCTTCACCAAGCTTGTTTAGCACTTGTAACACTCTTGCACCGCATTCCATATTTTTCCTCATTCTACCCTCCTGAACTTATTTATCTTGACGCAGGTTGCGGCCGTCATGTCAACCGTGGTTTCTACCCCACTCATCAACGATAAAATACCAAGTGAGCGGGAGCTAGGGTTTTCACATGGTGGGCCTAGCAACCAGAAGCCCGAATGTACTTAGTCTTAGATATCGGCGTTCTTGGACTCTCATTACTAGAAGTCACGCCATCCATGATAGAGCTTTTATATCTTCGACGTGTTTTGCTAAATCGTCCAGATCCTATCCCAGGCCCCTTTACGCTCGCTTTTGTAGTGCTTGTTACTAAGCAAATCACCCCAGAGCTAAGAGCCGGCGGCCTGTTCCCCCGCAAAGCGTGGTCAAGCTCTTGCGTAAGATTTTCTTCACGCCCATGCAATCAGTGGATCTAACCGGCACCCAAACTCCGTCTTCAGGACCACAATCGATCTCTCCGCTGACTCTCTGCTCCATCAACTTTGCGGGGAGGAAGATTCGCATGTTCAGAGTACGTAACGGCATCAGAACCACAACCGGCTCCGGCTCGATACCTTCATGGCTTTCATGTATTGCGTGCAGTTTTATTACCAGACTTGGAGTAGCGCTGGATCATGAGCTTAACCTTAGTAAGGGTGCCCAGCGACTAGGTTCAGTGACATTCCCGGATAAGTGTCCGGCACTTGAATGGCCAGCCTAGCCAATCCCTCCCCCTAACTGGGAGATATTTCAGGGATCTCTGGTTTCTAGTGGCGATACCGATATCAAAAGGGATGATTCCCCCGCGACCCAAGTCGCACCATCAGACCATTGGCACATTGAAAGAGTGCCGCCGGGCATCTGGAGTATAACAAGTTGGGGGCGCCGTCGGCGAAATTGTTCAATTGAGCAGCAATTGGAATGACAAGACTGCCGATATCGAAATTTCGTGGATGCCGCTACTGGATCTCTCGGGTACTTTCAGGTAGCACCGGGCCGGTCGCGTTTGGATGTCTATCTAGACAGGCCCGCCTCGACTTTCCTCCCCAGAACTTCTCGGAGACCAGCAGCAGGCTCGTATGCATCTTCCTGACTCTCAACACGCTCCAAGCATGGATCGCGATACGAAACTCCACGACGAAAGCGAGGCCACGGCCCCCAATGTCAACAAGACACGATCGGCCGACCAACACGATGTAGCCATCAACGCGTCTGGCCACGTCCAAGAACTTGAGCGCAACTTCAATCTACTCTCACTCGCCGGTGTTGGGTTGGTAGTCGGCAATGTCTGGCCAGCTATCGGCGGCTCAATCCTCGTCGCCATCTTCAACGGCGGTCCCCCGGGCGTCCTATACGAGTTCATCGCCGTGTCCGTCTGCTACTGGACCGTCGCGGCCAGCATCGCCGAGCTAGCAAGCGCCATCCCTTCGTCTGCCGGAGTGTACCACTGGGCCTCCGTCACACCCGGCCGCCGATGGGGCCGCGTCGTGGGCTTCTTCGCCGGATGGTGGAACTACCTTGCGTGGATTCTCGGCGCGGCCAGCATGGCATCAATTTTCGGCAACACGGTGGTCCAGATGTACGCGCTCAACCACACGGGTTTCGAGGCCAAGCCCTGGCACGTCTTCATCGTCTACATCATCGCGACATGGCTTGCATGCGCCATTGTCTGCCTGGCTAATAGTGCTATGCCGCGGATTAACGATTTTGGTGTCTTCGCGATTGTAGCAGGTTTCCTCATCACCGTCATCACTGTAGCCGTCATGCCCGGTCGAGACGGACGGCCGCCGCATGCATCATCCTCCTTTGTTTGGACCGAGTGGACCGCCGACATCGGATATCCGAACGGCTTTGTCTTTGTGGCCGGAATGTTAAACGGAGCTTTCAGTGTCGGTGCCGTCGATGCTACGACCCATCTAGCGGAAGAGATCCCGAACCCGCAGCGTAATGTCCCCATTGCTCTCGGGCTCCAGCTGGGCATTGGCTTCATCACCGGGTTCTGTTATTTGGTCACCATCATGTACGCGATCAACGACTATGATGCCCTCTTTGAGTCTCCGTATCCCATCGCCGAAATCTACCGTCAAGCCACCGGCTCCGCTGCTGGCGCGACTGGGCTGCTCGCCCTCGTACTCATATGCATCGGTTTGACGCTCATGGGTCTATACATCACCTGCGGTCGAACACTATGGGCCCTTGCCCGTGACGGCGCAAGTCCCCGTCCCTCCCTTCTCGGACATGTAAGCCCAAGGCTGGGCATGCCCATGTGGTCTACAGTCTTGTCAGCCATCCTAGTCACGGTTCTTGGAGCAATCTATGTCGGTAGCACGACAGCTTTCAACGCTTTTGTCGGGAGCTTCATTCTTCTCTCGAGTAGCTCCTATCTCGCTGCCATACTACCTAACCTCCTTTCAGGGCGGAAGATGGTCGCGTACGGGCCCTTCCACATGCGTGGATGGATTGGGTTCGCCATTAACGGCATCGCATGTTCCTACATGTTGGTGTGGTTCGTCATCTACTGCTTCCCTTTCGCTCTGCCGACCAATGCCCAGTCGATGAACTACGCATGCTTGATATGGGGCGGCTTCACCATTTTTGTTGGTCTATGGTGGTTGCTGGGGGCAAGAAAGGGGTATGAGGGTCCGACAACGACGGGCGGTGCCGTGATAGAGGCAGCATCTCACCACCATGCGGCCTAAGCTACTTTATATTTAAAAGTCTGAATGTCTTTTCAATGTCAACGACTTGTACCAAATGCATGTCTACAGCTCATGCGTCCCTGCGTGCAGTAGCCTTCTTGTGACTAGCACCAACTACTTTACACAGATATGCATGCCCCATGGAGAGATACCCGCTCTATTGAATATTCAAGCGATTTGAGCACAGATCTCTCCGCTCACTCAAATGTTTCCGCCGTTATGAGGAATAAAAGATTCCGGACAAAATGTTGTCCTGTATCGATACGGGATTGATTCAAGGCAGTCGTGGCTTGGCACTACAGCGGGAAAGTATCTATGTGTGAGACACGTCTTATGACACCTCAGCCGACCGTTGTGGCAGCGCAGAATCGGTTTCGCTCGGCTCGTGAAGTCGTCCAAGCTATCAACCATGTCATAGAAGCAGGAAGCTACACCACAGCCCGTGTGAGATGCACAAGACTCCTCTACCTTTCGACTATCACTAACACGTAGAAGCAAGCGTTCAGATGAATATGTGCGTATCAGTGCTTTGACTTACCGGGGTTTCAGCAATGTTTCCGGGCGGAAGGTTTTTAGGTTCACGACGTGGGACAACGGGAACGGTGGGATTGAGGGGGGAAACTACGCAGGCGGCGAAATGATAGTCCGACGCGGAACGTCTACTAATACATCATTGACGGCAGTTGTCTCAACCAATCGACACCCACCCCAACATCCCGTTCCTCCCCCAGCTCTTGCACCCCCGGGCTTTCACAGGTACGATTTGATATAGGCAAGATCTCCCATCAGCCAGCTGGCGCCAAGCATCTGCCAAAATGAGAAGCAAGGCTACATCGTCTGCCCTCAGCTCATATAACGACACCGCCTATGCGTACAACCTCGGCACATTCCACCGCGCCGTGAGTACTTCAAGCCAAGATGCCCAGGTCTGGTTCAACCGCGGCCTAACGTGGGCGTATGCCTTCAACCATGAGGAGTCAGCGAGGTGCTTCCGGAAAGTCATTGAGTATGATCCCTTCTGCGCCATGGCTTATTGGGGGCTCGCATTCGTCCTTGGGCCCAACTATAACAAGCCATGGAAGGTCTTTGATGGAGAGGATCTTGCCGATACGACCAAACGCGCACATCATACGATCATGCAGGCAAAGAGCCACTCAGGGAAGGCTACGCCGGTCGAGATTGCGCTCATCGATGCACTGTCTTGCCGTTATCCGCAAGAGAAGCCGGCGGAAGATTGCTCTAAGTGGAATGAGGATTATGCCCAAGCCATGGACTCGGTGCTTCAAGCCTACCCCGATGACCTCGACGTGGTCGCCTTGTGGACAGATGCCACGATGAACGTCACGCCTTGGAAGTTGTGGGACTACAGGACTGGAAAGCCAACGCCAGGCGCCAGGACGTTGGAGATCAAAGACGTGATGGACCGCACATTCAGGCTAAGAGGCTCTTTGCAACATCCAGGCCTACTTCACTTATATATCCATCTGATGGAAATGTCGCCAACTCCGGAAGCCGCCTTGACTATAGCTGATAATCTCCGCGGGCTTGTCCCAGACGCGGGGCATCTCGAGCATATGCCCACGCATCTAGACATCATATGTGGAGAATACCGTCGCGCCATCGCTTCCAACTCTGACGCGATCCGTGCCGACTCTAAGTTTCTCGCTCGCGAGGGTCCTCTCAACTTCTACACGCTGTATCGGTCTCATGACTTCCACTTCAGGCTATATGCCGCCATGTTGTGCGGTCAGTCCCGGGTAGCCCTCATAACGGTGGAAGAGCTCGAGTCGACCATATCCGAAGATCTACTACGAGTCGAGTCACCACCAATGGCAGACTGGCTCGAGGGTTTTCTCGGTATGCGAATGCACGCTCTGATACGCTTTGGACGTTGGGAAGCTATTCATGCTCTTGAACTCCCGCGAGACCCCAAGCTTTACTGCTCAACCACCGCCATGACACATTATGCAAAGGGTATAGCCTACGCTGTGCAGGGCCGAATTGAAGAGGCGGAAAAGCAGCGCGTATTATTCGCCGAGGCAGTTAAACGGGTACCGGAATCGCGCTCAGTCTTCAACAATACTTGCCTGTCAATTCTCTCCATTGCCGAGGCTATGCTGGATGGAGAGTTGGCGTACCGAAAGAAGGATTACGACGTCGCTTTCGCCTATCTGCGCAAGGCCGTGGAGAGAGACGACGCCTTGCCCTACGATGAGCCTTGGGGCTGGATGCAACCAGCACGACACGCGCTCGGCGCGCTGCTGCTGGAGCAGGGTCATGTCGAGGAGGCAGCGGCTGTCTATAGTGCAGACCTGGGAGTTGACGAAACCTTGCCCCGGGCTCTGCGGCACCCCAACAATGTTTGGGCACTCCACGGATTCTACGAGTGTCTGATGAAGTTGGGCAGGGTTGACGAGGCCAAGATCCTCAAGCCGCAGCTCCAGCTAGCTCTAGCCGTGGCGGATGTTCCTGTCAAGTCTTCCTGCTTCTGTCGCTTGAAGACGGTCGATTGACAGGTGCGGTCCCTGAGGCCTCCATTCCAGCGTCGCCTCAGAGACCTTGAGAGACCACGTGCCAGTTTATGACACTGGTCCCTGGGCGAGGAAATGGACGGTGCAGTGAGATAGATCATTGAAACACACATCTTCAGACTGACAAGAGCATTGGACGGAACGGACATGGGCATTATGGGAAGGGACTGCATCTACGGAAAGCATTCGTTTCGCGCTTTAGCAGAACAAGAAGAGACTCCTCTTGCTTCACTGGGATAGCAATTTGCTATGGAGACAGGTAAGGTCACAAATATGAAAGGCGTTGGTTTGTGAATGCTTTGCGCGCATGCGTGTGGGATCCGTCTTCTCTTAGTTTTATCAGTTCCGTGATCAAGTCTCCCCGTCTTTAAGCATTCCAAATGATGGATACACTCCAAGGGTGTTGATTTCACTGTTTACTTCAATCTAGAGAAAGCTATAAATTTTATACAACACAGAGGTCTCAGTTCTATACACGTAGATTCCAGAGCAGAAGCCCAACTAGTTCATGGCCAGTGAAAGTGGGTCAAGGCCACCGTCTTGACGATTTACAGACTCTATTCTGCCCATCAGTCTTGCAAGCTCCAAAGAAAATATGACCTCGCATCGGCGTTTGTAACTCGCGCTGCTGCAAATGTGAGGCCACTTCACAAGTTTAGAAGATAAGGGAAGCCGGTGGGCGGCGGACTTCCGACTGCCTAATTGGCAAGTTCTAGGCCGACGCCAAGAAGAATTGCCAAGTGATGCAAGTCTGAACCTACCAATTTACTTTGAGTTACTCTCGGGGAGGAGCTATTGTGAAACACCGGTAGTCATCAAATGAGAAATCTAGCAACGCTTTACAGTCACAAAGAGTTTCGGGTCGTACCTGCAAAAGTTGAGTAGCCTGGATGAGCCAAACTGAAATTATTCGAGAAACAGAGGCAACACTTTCCATTCCAATGGTCAGTGTGACTTTTACAACTACTTGGAGGAATGAATAGTGCAAGTATATACGTGGCCTCCCGGTTGTGTTTGTATAGATATGTACAAGAAGTCAAAATGGACTAGATCTAGCCCAATGTTTAGTTTTCCAAAGTTCCCGGTGTGGTCTTACAGCCGCCGGGGCATTGAACAATGAAGTCTACAAGAAACCGTGCCTTGTGTGCTTAGCCGGAGCAGGTGCCAGCCTTGGAGGGTTCGCATCCACCAGCGCAGCCGTTGTACATCTGGCACTTAGTCTTGGTGTCGGCGCAGACATTCTTGAGGGTGGCGGTGTCCTTGTAGGTCAGGTTGATTCCGGCCAGCTCCCCGCCGTTCTTGGCGGTGACGCCCTCCATGTAGACGTTGCGCTTGCACTGAGTCTTGCACTATGAAGGTTGAAAGAAAGGTTAGCTGGTTTTGTTGCCAGACAAGAGGTATATTTTCCAGAAATTATCAACGTACGTTTCCGCAAGAGCGGTAGAGCTTGCCGTAGTCCTCGACGTAGTAGTTGATCTTTGGTCACCGTTAGCATTGCTTATTTGAGAGCGAAGAGCAGTCGATCGACACCCACCACGTTGACAGTACCGCAGCCGTTGTGCTGAATGACCTTGTCAGAGGCGTGGTACGCACCACCACCGACAATCCAAGTCTGGGTTCCGGCCTTGTCGTTCTTGATGGATATGGCGTCCTCGCAGACGTCCTCGAACCAGACGAACTCAAGAGTGCAGTGTCCATTGCAGTGGACACCCTCAGCCTGGTTTTTACCGATGATGGCATTCTTTAGGGTTCCGCCAGCCTGAATGTAGAAGACGGAGTCCTTGTAGTCTTGGAAAAGGGAACTATGTTAGGTACCTGCCCTCGGGCACATGTAATATGTGTATGATGGGGCGCGTTGACCACTCACCGCCCTCGGACTGGCCACCGCAGGCACCGGACCCGCGGTCGAAGCGCTGCCACTTTCCGTCGTAGACCTGTCCAGCCTTGATCTCGATGTAAGACTTGGAGGTTACGGTACCGGTAGCCTTGGGAACACCACCAGTGTAGCCGTTGCAGGCGAAAGCGCCGGGAAGGGCAGCCAACAAAGGCACCAGGCCAAACTTGAGGAACTGCATGATAAACAAGAGTATATACACTAGCAGAAATACAGAATGAATGGAATAGTTTGTTAAAGCTGAAAGAAGGTGAGAGTGATAGACAGACAGAACTGAATGGGAATAGGTCGGACAACCCGAGGACTTATATGCAAACCTTCTCAAGGCAAAGGTTCCTGGTTCACACAAAGTCTGCCAAGGCTGAAAATCTCACACTATCCCTATCGCAACTTGGCCACTCATCAGGAAAGCCTAGGCAAACTAACCAAGTATCGCCTGGGTCAGGAGCAGGGGGGGGGGGGGGTTTTCCTCAAGCCCGCGGGTGAAGACACGACGGATCGCAGAGGGATTCAGACCATTGGCGGACATATGAACAGGCGGGCCCGGGAGATGTCTGCATGGTTGCTTCTGCGCGATGCTTACACGTAGTTGCTGATGGAGTCGCTTTGGAGATTTGCTCCGCGTACCGGCGTCTGCGTTGGAAACTTGGTCGTGTTCTGGTCCCGCTGAGTGCTATACCTGGCAGTCACTTGTTGTCAATACTGCATGTAAGGGGAGGCACAGTGCATGTGATGAAACTCCTGGGCTCAGTTGACCCAGAAGGAGCCTGACTCAAAGGGAGAAGAAGCGCCCTTCACTGTCCAATTACTGGGTTCTGCCATATTACAGATTGCCACCAAGACCTGAGTCTGTGGTGTACCTGCAGATGTGTGAAATACTTCATCGGATCACGGATGACGGTGTGACGGTAAGTTGTCAACCCCTTCGGCGTCCGGCCAGACGCGACCCAATCGGACGGTAGTTCCGACCTCAAAAGGAGATTAAGCTATGTGGTAACGAATCTGGGAGCCCAACGACCAGGTTCTTTGCGCAAGGGGCTTCTCTGAGTTGGCCTCTTTCCAAGCAGCAGACGAAGCAAGCGTGTCCAACGAAAGTGATACCGTGATCCTACTAACATCCTATCCCGGAGGTCACAACAATATTAGTCTATCGGCGGGCGTGGGACCAACGCGAAAAAGAGTCCATTCTATTAAATCGGTTGTTGTTGGTGGTGGTCTGTAAGGCGGAGTTGCCAAGACTCTTGTGTACACGATGGTATGGATTGCCGCAGCTAACAACCTGGTCCGGTGCTGGATGTTGATTAATGCCAAGAGTCAAACTCGCCCCAAAGGCTCTTGTTCGAAAATTGCCAGGGGAACTTTGCCCCGCATACCGTTCTTTTGGACGATGTTTTCCCATCATTCCTATGGCAGTCTGGCGAGGAAAAAGAACTCACCGATCCAGTTGTTGTTCAGGCTGGACTCTCCTCAAGAGTAGGTATCATCGGAAGCGGACGCCCATCCATCGGCCCCACCGCGATCGAGACCAAGGACCCATGTCCTGTTCTCCGGGAGTCTGTCTGACCATACCTAACCTTATGTAGCACCCATGTTGTCGTCGGTGTTCTACCAGCACGTTTGATGGCTGTCATCTGAAGTTCTGAGGCAGCCCTCGCCTACCCTTGCTGCACTTCTTTATTCCTTAGAATCCTGACCACCTCTTATCGAGCTCATTGGACCAACATTTACGCTTCCCACGTGCCCAGCCTTTGGGACCTGCCTGTTGCCTTTCCACATTTCAGGGGCATTTGGGATTATCTCCCGCTTTTCCTCCATCCGAGGGTCCGGTTATGTGGCTATGCTGGATGTCAATCAGGCTTCTCTCGGCAACGTACAGGCAACCGGGCGAATTATTCTCTTCCCGTCGTCTTGCGGGCGTTGAAAATGGACACATTTGCCCACCTCACCGTATTATGGTATCCATTTCACCTGAAATTCTTAGACTGTCAACGGACGCTCCGTCAGTATTGATATTCTTGAGCATGAGGAACATGGTAATCACACAGTTCTTGGTATTTTCATTAGATACTTACTTGGCGCTTCCAATTGAGGTCGTTCCCGATGGTTCTCCCAAGGGTCGTCTTCCTTAACATGGCCCGACATTCCATATGAGGGAGAGGGGTTGACTTCCTTCTTTCCAGGCGGGGCTCCCTCCTTTCCAAATACCCCATAATCTCTGTGCAGACACAAGGATATTTGAGACTGTCACCCGCATAGGTCTTATTAGGCTTAAGACTTCGGCCGACTTTGTTGACAACGGACCCAAACCGGGAACGATCGGAAACCCCCTCCCCATGAGCTTCGTCTACCCGATATCACTTACAAAATGGGGTCATCCATCCATTTAAGCTCACGGGCTGTCTTTGTTGAATGTGCGGACCAGCGGCATCCATGCTTTGGTCACATAAGTAGCCGTGCTTGGAAGACCACGTGAGAGGTTTTTCATCCTGGCTCTCGGGGGCTCCCCACGTTTGTTTGCCGCTAGAGAGCAAAACCTCCCAGCTTGACGCGAGCGAAACCTAATACCCCGGAGTTTGGCAGAAAAAGTCGGATGTTGTCAGTCTTCCTTATCTTTCAACACCGAGCGCCCGTTCTATGACGACCTTCCACACTGGGCCTGTAATTGTCTGGCCAAAGATTCTAGGTGAACTTCTCAAGCAAGTACACTACCTCCCCATGGGATACATCTTCGAACACATATGCCCATCCTGACGTACCTGGTGTTCTATTCCCTATGAAGACCGCTTTGTGTGGTGCGATCCTGAAAAAAAAGTCGAGGGCCGAAATTCACTCATCCCTTCTTGAGCCCTGCCGCCAAGCTTCCCGCGACTTCGCCGCCATGCATACCAGAGTCTTGGCAAATCTCAATTTTCTGCGTTCACCTGGTTGCGAGCGCTCACTGCAGCAGCATTGCCGCGTCTTTTTCTCAATGCTCTCGCTGTCGGTAATCTTTCTATTCTTTCCTAGGTCTACTAATCTCCGTGGGCAACATGAATTGGCGGAAACAGGACCAAAACTTCCTCCTAAGCCGTTTCTTTTACGTGTCATTCCCCACAGAGTTCTGTGATCATAATCTGCAACTCACTCATTCGGTTTCGACCTTCAACAACCGGGCCAAATGCCCCGACTTCAGCATGACGGGCAATGACAGATCTGAAAGCCGAAGTACTCGCCGACCAGAGAACGGAAATACTGGCCGCGATACGAACAGTACCGTTGCACCGTGATCGAGTTCACATGACAAACATGTTTAATTTATTCTAAGGAGTTCTCGGTTGAGGTGTCCCTAGGATGCCCGTGATCCACTGCCTGCAATTCTCCTTCCAATTGGATCTTCATCCGATCTAAACTTTATAGCTCTCGACTCTGGCGTTGACGTGTGACCGGATCATCCAATTCCCTGACGCTAAGTCTCAAAATATAATTGTGGCTGCTTTGAGATGTTGTGTTATGTCCGGAGGCGTTTTCATGTTGAACGATCGGAATATACACATCATCGGGCTTTTTTTTTGAATTTAAGTAACTTCCCGATGTTTCGTCACGGACCTTGACAGATGAACCGAAATAATAATCAAAAGTACTTCTCTTCATGCACGGCAAACCCATCACTCCATGATATCTATGATCCGTCTCATCCGTTCCTTGATCGTAACGACTTCCTGTTCCAGGCGGCGTCTCAACTCGGGGTTCTCCTCGCTTTCTGTCGCAACATTGTCATTTCTGATCAGATCAAGAACCGACGTAATCGCGGCCAACCCAGTACGGACGATGGCTTGTTGCTCGGTCTGGACATTATCTGCTAACAGCCTCACTCTGCTCTTGAACTCCGTCATGTGGTTCTCAAACAGATCCACGCGACCAACAGCACTGCGGATAATGTTTTTACGTCTCCTATCGCTCCCTCCTCCTACACTCAGTGCGATTAACAACGTACTCTAAGATCTGGGCTGTATGATAACAACTCACCATATTCTGCGTTACACCTCCTATAAGGCGCCTCCATCGCTTTGCCAAGTATGGATGTTCGAATGCCGGTAAGTGCGTCTATACGTAGCGAGCTATCTCGAGGGTGAGTTTGAGGCCTTTCTCGGAAGATTGAGCTGCTTACTTCAAGTCAGCGCCGGTTTTATCCGTGAGATCCTCTACTTGGGACTCCATGATATTCTTGTGGCAGATCAGAGTTTCCTGGAGGAGATCGGTGACTCCAGGAAAAAGCTCAAGCTCATTTTCTACCATTTGACCATCATTAGCGGAGTGATCCCAGTATGTGAATGACAGCTCCTCACCAAGAAATTCCAGTGCCCAGTCCATCTGGCTTTGGATTAGACGACCGCTCTGCTCTAGTCTGGCCCTGCAAAATGTGCACACCGAGTCCCATTGAGGTGTCACATCCCCAGCCATGATGCATATCATCTCCTGATTCCAATCATGCCACCCGGCTTTGTCGGTACGATGGTTCCCGAAATTGCGACAGAACGCTGAATAGGTCCCTTCACAGACTTTTAAGTAAAAAGTCACTATGCATCACTTACAAAATTTCGACTTACCATGCGCCCACTGAAATCTAGTTAGCTAGGCACATGCGGAAAGAACTCGAGCGACGTACTGGATCCCATTCCAAGGCGGCATTCGCCGCTGCAGTCCTCCAAGTATTGTTGCGTCGATCTTGCACGTTCAGAGTCAGGCAGATTGATCGTCTGAGGAGCTGGTAGACCACATACTGTCATAGACTTGCATTCTGAACTCATCTTTGATCGACGTCCCAACGAGGCTGAGATCTGAATTCCTTCTTGTCAACTCCTGATTACCGACTATCAGTCAAAACTTCCAAAGTCAAAGAGGAGTTGTCTTGCGGATTCTCTGACCCTCTTCAACCGAGACTCGATCACATTCAGCGTGTCGCGAATGTGGAGCTTTTGTTCAGCACCGGCGCTTCCTGCACCAGACTCAACCCACAATGCAGCTTCTCCAAGTATAGCGGGAATATCGTTATCGATGTATCTCTTGGCAATACTCAATTGACTGTCCGCAATAATGCCGAGGCAGTGCTTTCGTAGAGCAAGGATACCGCTGAGCTGCAGTGATGGGAGGGCCACGTCTCTCGGCTTGTGACGTTCATCCCAGTATAGGATGTTGCTAACGCAAAACACCGCCAGATTTCCGCCTGGAATCTTGTCTTCGTAAGCCGTTCGAAGTTGCCTGGTGATAATGGTGTTGCGGGTCTTTATCAGATACTCTTTTAGTCTATTGCGAAGGTCGGCATGTCAGCTTGCATTGAGGCCAGGTTTCTGTACTCATTTGACAAGGTTGAAGGTCACGTAACTTACTCGAATAAATTCTCCTTCAAGACTGCACTGTTAAGGCAATGCGAGTTAATTATAGATGCAAAAGCCTCTGTATAGATGGGTCTTACTTAGTTCGCCTATGTTTGCTGTGGAGTTGAATCGATTCTTTTTGTTGCTCATCTGTCAATTCCGTCGTCTCCAACTCGTCGATTTCCGCTAGGCTAAGATTGACATCTTCAAGATTTGCCTGAGTAGTTGAAACTGCATTGCTCAGTTGCTGGATACGGTCTGCGTGTCGGCCTCGCCAATCTTTCATGGCTTCTTCAACTCGAATGTCCTGTGGTTCAGTGGTCAGCAAACCGCTGAAACATTATAGCAAGGTGGGGGACCTGGAGATTCTAAAACGTGCTCACATCAGACTTTGTGCAGACGATCCCAACTTTAGACAACCCTGCCTGTTGCGCAAGTTCAAAGACACTTTGCACACCGACATCTGTAGTCGCCCGCCCAATGTTGCATATGGCAAAAATCTCATCACATTCGACCAGATATCTTTCAGTGATAAGTCTCCGTGCCGAGTTGGAGTCACGCAGTCCTAAGAGTCATATATTAGGGATATTTGGACCTTATCAAAGGATGCTTTACCTTACCAGGAAGATCGACGAGGATTAGACCCTTACTCAGAATATGTGAGGGCAAAAATACCCTAATCCCTGTCAGAAAACTTCACTACACGAACTCTGAAGTGAGGCAAGACTTACTTGATCTTACGGACGAAAGGCCAAACAGCTGGCGTTCGTGTATCTACCGACTCGGATGTCAGATACGTCAGGAAAGCAGCGCAACTATCCCGCGAAGGCTTCTCATGTCTTCCTTCAAGCGGTAGGTCCATTCTTCGCAGCCAAGAACGAAAGGCTCTTAGGACAGTGGCTTCCTCCTCATTGATAAGGAAGTCTTCGCTCGCCAGCTGACTGCGGAACATGGACCGGAAAGTGTCCCGAGCGACGTTTGCTTGCTCTTCAATATCGACAACTGTTGCCGCCCCATCATTTCTCCTCAATTCTCCCGCGTTCAGGTGAAACATTCGATACGATTGAAGCAGTTCCTTCATCTGATCCATGAGCTCATCCTGACTGAATAATTCCACGTCAATAGTGAAAGCATCCCCGTCCTTATGGTGATACTCGGTGACAACGCAGGTGCATGCGGCCCCGCTATTGCTCTAGCATACGTTAACCGACGGCTGCGATGCTACGCAAGGTCTTCCATAACCTACTGTTCTAGCGAGGTTCTTTTGATCCAGAAGGGAATTCAAGACGCTACTTTTACCTGTGCTCGTAAGATAAGGTCCCTTCGATCATAGTACTAGACGCTCACCAACGCCGGAATCTCCAACAAACCCAACAGTCCGCGTCGAAGGTCCTTCAAATTGGGACAGATCCAGTGCTTGGCCATGCAGTCGTCTGATTGTTGAATCGGGGTTGATGTGAAGAGGGCTGTCTTCGAGAACACCTGCCAATTGAGTCATCAATGCCTTGGCGTCCTTGATGGCATTTTGGACCGCTGGATCGTAGAAACGACTCTCTGGCAGCTCCTCATCCTTGACATCATGATACACCAGGGCTGCTTCAGAACGTCCCCGCGATCGACGAGGAGGGCGCGGGCTCAAGGAGTTTTGCCTAAAGGCAGGCGTAGGATTGCTTGGTTGAGGAGTCCGTCGCCCAGCATCTTCGAACAGATTTGACAGTGCGGCTCTAATATCGGACAACCCCATATCTACTGGTGTGCGATCGAGGCGTTCGATAATCAGCCGATCCAGACGATCAGTGATGCTTCCAATCTCGGGGGAGTCCCGAGCTGGATATCGTTCCCCAGGGAGACTATCAGCAGCCCTATAGGAGAGTGGAGAGTGCGGGGCTGATGTCAGCGGGGAGGTTGATGCTCGAGCAGCCCCTGGGCGAGTAGTCGGTGTACGAGGGATCGACGCTCCAGATATTGGAGACTCTGTCCATGCCTCAGTCTCAACTGATGGAATAGGCTCATCTGGAGACACTCGTCTCGGCAATATTGGTTCCGGAAACAAGGTGCCACTTCTGACGATAGATGGAGAGCGACTCGACTCAGGAGTGAAAATTGGTGCAGACGATCCTCGAGACGTCGTCGATGCTGCTGCTGACTGGTGCCTGTTTGGAAATGAAACTGGCGGAGAACCTGAGAGTACTTGTTCCTGGGGAAACAATGCGGCCCAAGGCGGGGGTTCAGAAGCCGTGGTCCTTGGGGGACCGGCCGTGGCCGAGGATCGCTGATGGTAGTATTCCAACGTTAACTGAGTGGGTTTCTTGACGGAAAGGATTGATATTGGGGTTTCGAGGAGAAGAACTCACAACTCTTGACATCCTTTAGAACTCGGCGGTGAAAAGAAAGAACCACGAAAAGCTGCGAAGTCGGGCGCTTTAGCCAGGTGAGCGTGCTGCCCGCCTCTTCAAATAAGTTGGTGCTCCATTTCTCCCAAGCCGTCCCATTCACGCTAGCCCGAAAGACATAGCCTCATTGCGGTTTTGTATCCTATTACAGAGACTGATTCCGTTGGAGATATCTATTCTGGTAAAGCAAAAGCGCCCTCACGGTGGGGGGATCATGCGGGCGAGGGCGGCGCAGACCTGTCCTGTTGGTTTCAGCTGCACACCCTGGGTCGTCGACCCAACCAACACAGATGGGTTAAGCGGGCGAAATAAGCGCCAACAGATTCTTTGGACCATGTTATGTATGCCACTGAGTCAGTCACTTGCAGAATTCTGATTCTTGGGTTGGATTCGGGCTCATTGTCACATGAACGAGTCGAGAAAGCCGAATTGGACTTACAATCGCCAGGGCTGTCAGCTTTTGTCTTAATACGCGGCCAGAGGGTCATCAGCGCTTAACAACATCAAAGTTTCTCAAACTTGCCCGTGTACACAAGGCCATCAGGTAGCAAGTACAACCTTGTAAGTCCATGAACGAAAAAGTCTTAGGTTCGTTGTTCGGCTCATATTTCCATGATGAAGAAACCCCAGCTCGGCATTGTGGAAGGAGAAACAGCCATAACTAAGGCCAGTGCCATTTGGTATATGTTCTCTTTCGAAGTTATCAGCTCCCGGTCTCCAAGATTTGAAATGAAAAATGTCTCAGCGATTGATAAATGTCTTTAGGGACGCGTGACTTTCCTACGTTCTCTGCTCACCGGGTCGAATCCATAGTTTGAATAATTGCTAGTGAAAATCGACCCGTAAAAGTAAACGTTGGAAAACATCATATAGAAAAGTAGAATCATGTAGGAATACCTTTTCTGAGAAAATCCTTTCAACTTTTGAGAACAGGCGGTCGCCTGGCTTTGAAGCCTCGTCTCCGGCTCCGCTAATGACCTACGTCAAAGATTCATCAGCAGTCGGTGTCCATAAACTCAACATATGGCGTCTATCTTCCAAATTCAACAAGTACAATATATTTGCCTTCCGATTTGGCGTAGCATTATGACTCTGAGGGTTTTCAAACGACCTAACTTGTTTTGCCTTTCGAAAGTTAGTGAACATCAAGCTGTCAACCAGCGAAACCTGAAACGCCTGGATTTTGTGTCAAGGAGTTCGAATCACTGTTCAGAGGATGTGCTGTACCTTTTAATTGAGCTTCAACCTCTTTGATCTTTTGAAGGCGCTCTCAATAGCCAGCTGGTTTCATGAAATGCAAGTGCTCAGTGACACGAAAGTAAGCGTTGGCAACATGGTTTTCTTTCTTTCGAGTTCATCGCCTCCAAAAACGTGTATAATTTTCTTTCGCGGCTCTGGGATTTCTTTAAGGAAGACTAGATGCCGCCAGAACCGGTAACTCTAGTCTCAACACCCGAGACTCTAAACTTGCTCATTGGACTCTCATCAAGTTTCGCAGTGAGCAGATCCATCCTGAATTACGGCATATGGTTAGCAGGTAACGTTAGAAGTACTTGACGCAGAGACGCTCTCCTATATCACACTTGCCAACGAACTCATTCAATTCCTTTAAAATATTCATGCAAATCGTGGTCTATTGGCTACAGACACTTTGCAACCGAATGTCTTGATGATTGACTCACTACCCCATAGTCCTTAGCAAGGAAGTCGGCGCTTCGGGAGTTGAGAACATTGAACACCACATGATTCAAGTATTATGTCTGACTGCTGATGTGAACGTTCCACTGCATTTTTGTCTATCGATCTGGATCTCAACCTAGTGTAAACATACAAATGGACCAGCAACCTTGGTGCTGTCAGCCATGAGCTCTTTGGCAGAACTTCAACTCTGACAACTGTCTCGGCATGACTATGTGCTTGGCAGATCTAGCCTACTATCAACTTGTTAAGTCTACTTATGTTTCCCTGGAGAAAGTGTGATCACTGACAGGTTCTACGCAATCCAGATAGATACCGCTTTGACTAAGAGAACATATGCTCCAACGTTCCTGCATCATTCCTCACAATCAGTAAATCTAGGTTGAGTCCACCTACAAGACTAAACATCACTTATAAAGCTTGAACTACATCGTCTCGGAGTCAGAAAGAGAGTATCAAACCGTCGCTACCATTAGATATACCAAAAAGTGATCCCAATGCTTACACCAGACATGATTGTATCGTTAGCAATTCCTTTTGGGGAGACTATCACTTCAAGTAAGGTAACTAACTACACCTATCTCGTTGGATAGTGGATCAACTCACATTTTTACGTAGAGGCATGAGGATCTCATTAGTCAAGGCTGCCTTACAAGTAGAGACTCGAAATAGTACATTCTGGGACACCTGAGTTTTGTTTGAATCGCATATTCCACTTCGGGCAACAAGACGCATCAACCCACGGTCCTGCTATGAGCAACAGACACTCGGTCGTCTTCAAGTTTTCTACTCACAATTCAAAAACCAGATCGATCGGCCAAACAGCGCCGTCCGTACATATTCTATCAATTGATTAAAAACAAAAGATCACCAGAACACAAAGCCCCCAGTAGGTTCATCTCTCAACATAGACACCATCCTCTATCCAGCATACAACCTACGTAGTATCACCTCTATGACTGAGCTCTCAAGTACAGAGCAACAGATCCAACCCGCTACTGCGCAACCGACCCGATGTCGACTCAAGATGTGCATTCTCACCCCCAAGCCCACGTGATCGCGAGTGCCCTCATACCCCGTCCGTGGTGCCATCTGAAGATTCGCTCCTCTCCAGTGATCTTCTGAAAGCACTTCGCCTAACAAACTAGGCAAGAAAAAAGCCCCCTTCTCGGGCCTGACGCTAAGAGAAGGGGAAGAGGCGGGGAGTGTCTTGCGTCAACAGCTTTGCTCGCACCAAAAACTCGGCAATCGGACTCGGTTCTCCCAAGCTTCGATCTTGGCCGACGGAGAGCGATGTAGCTGAGCATGATGGGGTTGAGCTTAGAACCGAAGAATAGGTTCCATCAACGACAAACGACATCAATCAAATCTCCGCTTTAAAACCACAAGTTCCTCGATCGATCCGGTTTTCATATTGGGTTCCAGGCCATTCACAAAGTTTTCCATCCCCGGGGCTAAGAAAAACGGTGTACGGAGCTGTCCATGAAGATCGTCCCTCAGCTCCGTGTGCGTGGCTACCGTAGGGGTTCTTTAAGCACTGAGGATGGTGCGGCGATATCTACGTGCCTGACGATCTCTACCCCCACGAAACAGAGCCGCGGAGGGCTTCGTGGACCACGCGATCAAGTAACGAATGGAACCAATTACGATCGAACAACAGAAGCTGGATCAAGTTACATGTACCATGTTCCGTTTCTCTGAGCCCCAGCAACGCCAATAAACGGGGGATCCAAAAAGGCCCTCAAGCTGGTTTGGCAGCTCGGGAACGCACACAAGCTGAAACCGCCACTTGCGTAGTTGGCGTCGAAAAAAACGCTACCAATTGTGGGGGTTTAGGGAAACACCTGATGAGAAATGGATTAGCCGAGGTGGGACGGCGTCAAGGAAACAACACGTAGCAGTCGCTTGCGTTTAACAGATCGAGATCGAGATGGCGGGAGAAATTGACGCATATCCGACTGAGGGTTCTCCGCAGACGCGTCGGCCATGTCGTTGATGATGATGAGCAGTCGACACAGCCGGCGTCGACAACGAACAAAGAAGAGAGTGCCTCCGCTCTCTATAGCTTGGTCCGAATAAAGAACATTCTCAACCGAGAGGATCTCTAAACGCGCGTGTGTCCTGTTTGCCTTCCAAAAGGCCCGAATCATACAGATAGATGGCAAATAGGTCTAAGGGGTCATTAGTACCCTCAAGAACCCCCTATGGTCCCTATCCGATCCTTGATTCGCGATGAGATCTTATCCGCTCAATCAGCCAAACTAATTAACCCAAAGGGTAAAGACACCGAAAGGAACAGATGGATCTTGCGTCGCCGGCCGGCTGGGCAGAAAAAAAAATACACCACCGAAAAAGTAGAATGCGTAATAGGTCTTCGTCAAACAACTCCACATCAAGGCCGGCGCCGTTTCGGGCTGCGCGGATCACCCGGATTCCGACGCTAGTCGTTTTCCCCGGCGAAGATCCTCATCTCGGGCGGGTCGGCGAGCGAGAAGGAAAAGGAGCAAGGGGAAAAGTGGAGCGAGACCCGTCAGGCAAGTTATCGTTTGGTTCAACCGTTGCCGTGGCTCATCGTCTAGACAAGTATGAACCAACCGCTGAACCAACCCCTTGCCAGCATCCATAGTGTTCTTTTGAGGATTCGAGCCTCTGACGTCCAAATCCCGCTGTTTCCACTCCGCTTCGCTATTACCAACGTCTCGAAAAGCTGGCGGTCTGGTAGCTTGCCCTGGGAGACGAGAACGAAAACGAGGCAGTCTTTTATGAAGCTTTCGGTTCGGGCATTGTGATTCTGTCTTGCCTACGTGGGAACATGGTCTACCTTAGTTTTCGCAACGTGGAAGGGGCGTGTATGCTGGAAACGCATGAATCGTGTAGAGCAGATGGATGTAACGTTCGAAGACCGCGCTAATCATGAAGAGGGTAAGAGACAAGCAACGGTGAAGTATCAAAGAACAATGGTATTACGCTTGATATACGACAAACTTCCGCCCCGGGGGTGAGGTCACACTTCTAGCTCTACGTTCGGACCTCTCACAACTCGGCACTCCGGTCCGTCAGCGGTCTATTCCGCGCCAGTACCAGATCCACCAGCTCCTTGCCGGGGAAGTCGATAATCACGATACCCGTCATCCCGCTGTCCCCCCGGTCCGCCGTCGCAGCGAGCCAGTCGCCGGTGCGGTCGTTGATGCCGGCCACCGTCCGGTTCAGGTTCCCCGCCGCGGCCTCGATGGGCAGCACGCCGACGCTGGCGCTCAGGTGCGCGAGGTAGAGGACGCGGTTAGCGTGCGGCTTCGCGGTGGCGGCGCGGCGGAGGGCGTTCTCGACGGCCTCCCACTTCATGTAGAGGTGCTCGACGCTGGGGATGATCCAGAGGTCCTCCAGGACCATGTCGGCCGACTCCCAGATGACGCCGTAAGGGCTCTCGGGGCCCTTTGAGGGGAAGTTTTGCAGCAAGAAGATCTTGCCGCGGAGGGCGCCGAGGGTCGGGTAGGGCTTGCGCGGGTTGTGCTTGCGGAAGTGGGATTTGGCGCCGGGCGAGGTGGCGGTGGAGTTGTGCAGGTAGTAGTTGAAGGCGTCCTCAAAGGTCATGCTGTTTGTGCCGAGGGGCCTGCCCTCCTCCTTGAGGCGCATGACGATGGTCTCGCTGGGGTGGTCGTCGAGGAAGTCGAAGAGGGTGAGGAGGACTTCCGTGTAGGAGTGGCCCGTGTACATGGAGGCGTGGTAGATCTCTATGGAGTCGTTGACGAGGCGGCCCCGGATGTCGAGGTAGCGCATGCCGGCGTGCAGCTGGGCCGAGAGGTTGTGATTCTGGCATTGGAAGACCTGGTTGGTGAGGTCGTAGGTGAGGGTGTCGTGGGTGCCCGGGATGGAAAGGGAGGTGAGGTTGGCCTCGTCCGGGATGGCCTTCATCCATTCGGCGTGGTCGGCCTTGTCGACGTCGAAGGAGTAGTGGGATTCATAGCCGCGGTAACAGTGGTTCTTGGACTTGACGAAGCAGGGAGCTAGTGAGAGGAGGACGGAGAAGAGGGCTGAGACGAGGAGGAAGAAGGATAGGACGTAGAGGAGGGGCATGCAGTGGAAGCGCATCTTGTGAGGCTACACCGCGGTCTATAAACCGCGGGGGTGTGTGAGAGTGCGTGATACAGGGCACGCGCAAGTGGGTGAGTGAGTGATACACACACTCGTTTGGAGCGAGTGAGTGAGTGAGCGGGATGAGTGAGGTTGTACTGAGATGCAGAGACGCGGACGGGGGGGTGTGATCCGAGAGGTCCGCGATGCACGGATGAGGCTCCTCTCTCGGGTGAGACGCGGATGACGGAGCTCCTGGCACCTTGTTGGGCTCGCTCACGGTGCGGTGCTCTGCAGGACTCCGGCACGGAGAGGGTCCCCACCGCAATGCTCGGCAGCAAAGTCTTGTTGGAACCGTTGAAGAAAAGGGGGATATGCCCGAGACTCGGTTCTTTGAAATGACGTCCAATTAGGTACACAAGAAGAAGAAACGATGTACAAACAGCAAAAACCGAGTCTCCCACACGTTACTTCTCCCACACACTCTCTCCAAGGAAGTAATCAGAAGAGGAGAAGGTTTAGGGAGGGGGACGGGGCGCGGACATGTGAGGTTCAGATGCTTTTACTGTTGAGGGAGACTCGAGAATGAGAAGTGAGAATGAGAGTGAGAGTGAGAGTGAGCCTCAGAGCTTAGCCGGGCGTCACGTCACTGGTTTCCTCCCCGTTGGACGTCCGCGGCGTGGCTCACCTTTGGAGGGCCCACGTGCGCCGCGTGAGAATGAATCGAAGACCGCACCAAAGTTGTTCCGGAATTGCCTTTGCCTCCGGGCGGTCCGCGGGCGGCTCAAAGCGCTCCACCATCTTTTTTGCGGGTTGCCCCTGAGATTATAGGGGTTATCCTGACATTGAGGGAAGCAATCTGTGAACTTGGAAAGAGGTTGAAACGTGAGGCAAGTCGTTCGAACCCATCACGAAAACATCAGCATCGTGTACGACTGTGCCAAGCTCGGATACTAGTCCCGTAGGTACGGACACCATATCCCAAAGCCACTAGATAGTCGACAGGCGATAAGACCATGGGATCAGCACATAAGTCCACTGTCCAGGGCCCGCAGGTCACGGCGGCACAACCGTGCTATTACAGGGCAACGCTCTGCCCCCGCGTGCGGCATCGGCGGGAACAGCACGCGGCCGATCCTGGCCCGGCCACCGCCGAAACAACGACAGCTCGGCCCGCCAACCAATCCTCAGCCAGCACTCGGATAACCTTTCGGTTGCTCAATTGTCATGGGTTCTGCCGCCATGTCTTGTGTTCTCATGATTCCCCTTGTTTTTGGAGACAGCTTCGCGAGACGACTTCATCTATCCAGAACTCGAAGAGCGTCGCACGAAAGGACATGGTGAAATGGTGAAACCACACGGGGGAACATGCGGTGAGTCGGGCGTGTAACATCACACGAGATAAACAAGAAACAAAGCCAAAAACAAGTTGTTGGAAAAAAAACAGACATGCAAACGCAGCCAGCCGGCATGCCGACACCCCGGCTGGACGGTCACGCATCTCGTTACTTCTGCTCCTCCCCCCACGTTTGCGATAGGCAAGGTGGTTGGGACCTGGGACCGTTGATCACTGATGGAGGGAGTCCCCCGCGCTGCATTTCCAACTCTTTCGGCCGGTATACGCTCATCTGCGAGTCCTTTCGAATCGCAAGATAGTTTGAATCTGCGTCTCGCGGACATGTCTTACCTGGTGGTGCTGCTTCACACTCTCAGTCCATTTCATAATTTGACTCCCACCGCCGCAACCGCTGTCGCCCGACTCGATTTGTTCGTAAACAAGAACCTCTCCAACCTCTCTGTTTTCATCAACGAACCAACCATATTCCCTCAAAGCGTACATTGAACCACAAATACCTCCCAAGGCCCTGTCCTGTCAACGCACATATCCGCTGCCTGGTGCTGGGCCCCGCACCCAGCATATCTCCACCGAAAGCGGGCAGTCACGCTGCACCTGTGCGGATGCGTACATGACATGACCCGCCGCCTTACGCTGTGATAAAGCTCCGTCCACTTGAGCGTTCTCGATATTCTATAGATGATAGAGTTCGTTGAGCACAGGTTGTGACCTGGGTTCGACCATTGACGATCTTACATCGCTCGGTGTGGCTGGATGGCGGGGGTGAGGCGTGGAGTAGCAAACCGGAATAGAGGCGTGGATGTCCGTTCTCGCGGTACACTGAAGTCAATCATGGCACCATGATGCACGAGGATTGTTGATACAAGGAATTCTCGCAGTCTTCATGAAGTTTTGGTACGGCTTATCACGCTGGCAGGATGGTGCTTGACGTTAAAGTACTCTCCAACCAGTGTTCAAACATCTCAGAGGGTTACAATTGTGAGGCTGAAGGGGAACCAGAAATAGCTCAAGTCTGGATTACTATCAAGAAAAGCCTCCTCGTCCCTGGTCAAGCGATAACACCCTCAGAGTTTTTGACAACGACTGAGGAAAAGGAGGCTCAATCACACCGTCTTAACACGAAACGACGGGAAGTCTGGAGGTAGGTTAGTCAAGCTATATGCCAAATTCTTATTGGATTGCCAGGCGGTCGCAATCTCGACAGCGACAGTGGCAGTTCCCATTGGCACCTCGTAACACGAGTCCTTTCTTTGACACTGACAGGTTAACATCGGGTTTCAGAAAAAAAAAACGCCTTCAGCCTGGTGGTGGTAGTAGCAGCTCGTGCGATTGCCAGACCTCAACTGTGATCCTTCAGGTTGATGACTGGGCAGTGATGAAGTGTGGTTCGACGCTGACGAAAGACACTCGTCCACGTCGAGGAATCCTTCCATCATGACAGCTTGAAGCGAAACATCCACTGCCGTGAGAGCAAGAGACTGTAACGGCCTGCAATGTGACGGTCAAGACTCCTTTCTCGCCACTTGTACACTGTACTGCGTATCACGGGCACGGCAGAACGTGCCGCGGACAGCTTGCCCTCCAAGAGCCACAAGTCGAGCACGTCAGGACTTCCGTAGTCATAGCTCCTCCCCCAGCTTCAAGGCTTACCACTCAACTACTTACTGTAGAAGCACAGCTATGGCCCCGTACAAGTCCAACTGGAAAGCCCGGCATCGCGTATCTTGGTCCGTGTTCATGGCCTGCATCACTAGTCCCCGTGGATAGAGGGGGCAAGACTGGGAGAGCAGCTTGGGAAAGGTTGTAGCCAAAAACTAGTGCGGCGCACGAGCCCGATGAAGAGGGTCTCCATCTCGAACAATGGGATGGACAGACAGTGTAAAGTTGGAGGGTGGAGTAAAAAAGCGAGAAGCAGATGTTAGACAAGAAGCTCGCGAAATCGCCGCCGACGCCGACGCCGTCCCTCTCCGTGAGTATTCCCCTCTCCTGCCGCCGTGGTATCGTAGCGTTGAGCATTCATCCCCCAAGCCAACGAGACTCATCCAAGAAACAACAACAAGACCATGTGAGAGTCAAAGTCTGCTTCCCCCAGAAACATCTGATTCCCGAGGCCTTTTGCCGCCCGCGGAAACAAATACAAAAAAAAGATGAGATGACTTTTCTGGGTGAACCGCCCGTATGCTCCCAGCTCTCAATCCCGCCCCCGACGGCTTCATGTGATCCGAATCGCGCCTCGTATCCCCCCCAATCTTTCCGGCATCCAACCCCCATCCCTTTTCGTATGCAGGCGTCGCGCTGCATACAACCCACCATCAAGTCTGCAACCACCACCACCAACGGCACCTCCACCACAGAGAAGGGAGGAGGGAACCGCTCGTCGTTCACAGCATTAAAAAAAAGGTCATTCGCCAATCGCGCGCGAGAGGGTAGGTCCCCTGCGATTTCGACAAGAGCCTCCAAGAAAGATCGTCCCCCTCCCTCCTCTCTACAATGTACATGCATACATGCAGTCACGATATGAACGGCGAACGGCGTCTCGCTTGGCGGGTTGCACCGATTTGCAGAAGAGCCAAGAAAACCCAAGAGGAGACCAGCACTCGGGACACTGAGACTCCGGGGTCCATTAGTGCGAATGAGTCTGCGATCTTCTTCGCGCTGCCGCCATTCGTTTCAATGCTGCAGGTGTTTGAATAGTGCGAAGGACTGGGGTTTGAAAGGTTCAAGAAAATCAGAAGATAGAAATAATATATAAAAAAAAAAAGAGACAGGCCAAAACCACCTTGTTCCTTCTACGGAGGAAACGCCGCACCTATCGGGCCTTTGGAAACCAAATCTTGTTTCTTTGCTGCCATCGGTCGATGGCAGGTAGGACCTTGTCAAGTTGTCATTTTTTGCTTACCTACCTTACCACAGACAGTATGTAGTAGCCTGCTCGCTGCCGCGTTTGCCCCGCAGCCGACTCCGCGTCCATTGGAGATGGTTGAATTGACTTTTTAGATTTTGGATTTTGGATTTTTTTTTTTTTTTCGAGATCCTCCCCCGGGGGCCGGAGCAGATGGCTATGTCTGCGGAAGCGATTCGGCCTTTTTGGTTTTGACAACTCCGTCCGTCACCAAAGAGTTGCGTGGGCAAAGTGTAGAGCACACACCCAAGCTTCTCGCATCTTCCAAGCAAAAGTGAAGTCATGAGCAGAAATATCGTGCAAGAAACTATGCCGCGGATTTGCGACCCTCTGTGCCAGCCTGGTGACTGTGGAGGCAAGAGAGAGAGAATCCAGCCCCCGGATCCGGCACCGCGTTCCCGCATACGATTTTGCGGCATGAGGCCCGATTCGTGCCGAAATGGCGTGGCATCTACGGCAGGATTGGTCCCCTCTGTCTTCCGGGAGGCCTTGTTTATCAGATGCAGATGCAGATGTAAACCACGAGGTTGGTGATACGAAGTCGAAGCTCGTCGTGTGGTGGTAAATCGTACCCACGCTTTGTCATGGGGATGTCAGACTAACATGATGAATTCTCGCCGCATGGTGTGCCCGACTGTCAATATCATGATGCGACGCAGGTGAGCCTTGTCAGAACAAGTTGTAGCTTGTAAGGCAGTCTGGGCAGCGCATATGATTGAGCTCTTGCCGAAAGTCGGCGAGGTTTGTGAATATGGGGCCCCGGTCTCCGATCGGGAAGCTTCAGGCGGGCGTGAACTTGAAGGTTTTCGGCGTTCCGGGGGTGGTGGGATGAATGAGCGGCGGGGAATATCGTGGCACACCTATTCCATCGTCCCCTAGCCACCCGTCCTTTTCTTCTGTGAAGCATTACTGAACAGAAGCGAGTAATTGTTTCTCCGGGATCCTCCAAAACAGTTGAACCAACTACTGCTTGTGGCGGGGTTCTGGAAAACAAGTGCCGCAATATTCTGCCTCTTTGCCCAGGTGGCGCATCTAGGCTGATGTTTCGAGATAACCATGGTACCAGAAGGTAGAACTTGGAAGCTTGCCCGCCACCCCTGCGGCTCCGGTTGTTTGGATGCATGCGACCATTGCCTCGAGCGTTGCCGAATGGGGCCTAAGAGCTCCCCGACGTGACCACGGTCATGGAATCGCACGGTTTCTCTACAACTTGCTGGTGCTGATAGAAGCCAGGATGCTGAGGATTTCGTCCAGTGTTCCTTTCTTTGCTAAGACGATAGCTTCGATTTACCGGACATGGGATGTGTTGAAGACCAGGATGACAAGCGTGTGTGTCCAAGGCAGAGCAACTCGGAGGGTGACAGTGACAGGCACACACACGATTAACAGAAAGCGGCCCAAGAGCCAAAACAGCACGACCAAGTCGGTAAAGCACTGCCGCATGTGTTTGGCGCCGGTGCTCCTGCCCTGGGAAGGGGAAGGCTCGTCGATGCTCACAAATCAAAATCAATGGTTCCCAACGAGCAAAAGGGGACATACCCCTTTGCAGCAAGAGGGTAAGGTACGGTAGTCAGGGAGAGCGTTGAGGGTGTAACCTGATGCGGCGGCTCAGGCCATGATGGGGGAATTGCAACGGGGGGGCTTTTCCCATAGTAGCGGCAACGCTAACACGCATTTTGTCGCGGTGCTATGCTGTTATCGGCGCGCCAGGCGAGTGCGTGTATGGTGAATTTGAACTGGTGTGTTTGGTGGGTGTGAGTGCGGGTGAGAACGTGGGAGAGGAACAGTTCCATGACGAGAACAACGACGGGCGCGATCCGGCTGCTGGACTGAATGCCTATGCAGATGGACGTGGCCTGGTATCTGGTGTAGATGAATCATGGACGTGAGCCGAGAGAACCGGGCAGAATGGAGTGTAATGGACCAGAAATGACTCGGCGTGCCAGCGGGCTCTGGCCTCCAGGTAACCCGCTCCGGGACCGTACTTGTCTATCAGCGTCAGCCCGTTTGGGCGGGCAACGACACCAAGCAAGAGATACGAAAAATAGGCCGGAAAGCGGTGCGAGTAAAAAGGTACGTATGCGAAGTCCGGGGCAAGATGAGAGCAGTCGCTGACAGCCCGGCAAACAATGGGATATCCAGGCGCCATGTCCACGGCTAAGTGAGGTAAAGTATCATATAGTAGACATGTTATTAATGTCGTTTGCGCCCCCGAAACAACCGGCGACCCCGGCCATGGTGTTCCTGACCTCGTATAGAGTGACTACCTCTCTGCAAACAATATTGTTGAGGAATAGCCTGTGAGAGGTGACTGAGAGCCAACTCGTAACCAGAGAACAAGCAGGACTTCAATGCCGGATGAGGATAAGACGAGGAGACGGTAGCAACCGGCCAAAAGGATGCGAGAAGAACCGAATGCTGGTGAGATAGACTTGGTGTCATTAGTATGAGAGCGAGTGAGTACGAATGACATGAGGTGTTCTCAGCACAGTAACAATGGCCCCAGAGAACGAGAGGCAGGATAAGACGGACGAAACGTGGTCGCCTTGCACGCAAGAACAAGCGAGTGTGAAATGTCCGTAAAACAAATGTCAATGTGGAGGTTTCTGTCTGATGGTGGATGCATTCACGACTCAGACATTTTTTGGGAACAATCAGCAAAGTGGGCGGAATAAGATAAGCAACAAGATTGAAGGGGTTGATTTAGACGTCGAAATGTCCAACCACGTTAAAGCTTTTGGATTCCCCGGAGCCGCGGGAATTGGACTGCAGTCAAGGCTCAAACATGACGCTGCAGCGCGCATCTCCGACATCGTATTCACTACGGCATGTTGTGTGTTGTTCTGCGAGTGTGTTGCCTCACTCGAGGCGGATCGATTATCCATCCACCCACCCATCCATCCATCCCTCACCGATTGAATGAGCGAATGGGTGACAGCGAGGGCGGGCGGTAAAGCAAAATAGCATGTTCCAAAGTTGGCAGTGTACATAAATTGGATCCGTGGAGGCGCCCACCCTTGCTTGTGTCTGGTATTTTAGCGACGAGATCATCGCTGTGGGGGAGAACTCTGTCGCTGTTCCAGCGCTTCACTTCAGCTGATGTTGTACCCGGGGGTTTGGGGAATCGGAGTTGGGGGGTTTTTGGGGAGAGCTTGAAAGGCCTTGGGTGAGGGGGAAAGGGAGAGAATTTGAGTGAGAGACAGAGACAGCCGCTGAAGGCAGCTGAGAAGATGTCAGGCTACGGCAAGGAATGCAGGCATCATGCCTCCCGGGTACGCATGTCTAGTTTGTGTTGCCAGGCACGGCACAAGCGGCCAGAGAGACAACGTATCCATCCGTATCCAGCTGTTTTTTATGTTGTTTTTGTGCCATGCCAGATCCACCTATCAACGAGCATAGAGACAAAAGAAGTCAAGCGCTTGCTGGTCTGTGCTTTCTGGAGCTTGAGAGTGGAGAGTGACGACATTCGACATGGGCTCAGGGGATCAGGGGTGTGAAAGGAGCAGGGGTACAATAGAGAGGCAGGGGGGTTCCTGAAGGTGCATCTTGGGGGTGACAGATCATCCATCACTCATTCGAGTCTCTCTCTCACTCAAGTCCGAGACCCATACTGTGTAGATGGAGATCAAAAGATCATGAAGAAGAAGAAGATGAAGAAGAAGGATGGAGTTGGCGGCGGTAATAAACATTTGGCTGCCGCCGCGATGCCTGCCGCTTAGACAGCATTGATGGGATTGACAGACTCTCAGTCATTTCGACACGGCGGCGGGAGGAACGCAAGATTGAGATTGACGGACGCCGCGTCTGCTCATCCACTCACACAGCCGCATCGTTGGTTCGTTCTCGGGCACTTCTGTCGGTCCGTCCGCAAGCTGCGTTTGATTTGGATGTTCGTCGAAACCCCTGCAAGCTCGACTAACAGTGCGCTGCTCACGACGCCACAGCCGGTCTAAGCTACATCAGGCCGAGCTCGGGATGGATGCGCCGGGCGCGCGCGAAGCGGGACTCCTTGGGCCATTCTGCTGACCGGGATGTCGTGTCGACTTCAGTGCCAATGGTGGGGGGTTTGTGGTCTTGGCACCTCTCTCGCTGATTGTCCGTCGACTGGAGATAATTAATTCCCCTGCCGTAGGGCAGCTTGAGAGTCAGGGAAACCAGGTCCAAGATGGCGAGGACGGCGAAGGGTTGGCGAGCATTATATACGCAGGGCGAAAAGACGAAAGGGTCCTTTTGGTGCTGACTGAAGTACGAAGTATTAACTTCCGCTTGTTGCACTTGGTTATCTTTATGCAAGTTGTGTCGTCGTGAGGAAGGGCTTGTTATGCGGTTGGTCACAAGTGGCATAGCCGGTATATCTGCTGTGTATACGGAGTATCGCTCTCTGCTGTATCTTTGTTAGCTTGCGGCTTTCACAAGACAGGCAGGAGGCGCACTTGCTGCTATCCCAATCGCAGGGCTCATGGCCGGCCGGCCGTCCACTGACCCGGATTGGATGCGAATGCAACGGTAAAGTTGCAACGTCGTTACACACATGCTTGGGTACCATGTGCGTGGTGATGGTCTTTGATAATTCTTCTGGCGTCTCTTATTAGGACGGTACTCCTTAGAGTATTCGTAGC